TTTCAGCAAAATCAGCAGCCCCACAGTCCCAGCTGCCAATGGCACAACGCCTAAACCGAACACACGCTCCATGTGTCTGTACACATATGCAGAGATATGCAAATATGAATTCACATTTATTAAAACTCAGCCCAGCATCTTTATCTGAAAGTAACATGACAGCATTCTCTGAAAACACAGCTGAACTTCAATGTGTGTATGTTGTATATGCGGTTTACATAGTAGACAGAAAGAACTGTAAATTGTAAACAATATTTAGAAGAAAACATGAAATTGTTTTTATTGTATATGATCAGTATAACTCTTCTATACCTCACGTTTTGTCCTCACATGGCAAGACAGCATAAAATATTTGTATTTTAAAAATGATTTCTCCATCCAAAACCTTTTTAAAACAAACTAGTGAAGGCAAAAATTAAAATGCTGAAACCTTAAAAAGGTGACTAGTTAAAGCACATAAAATAATTTCACCTTACACATTAAAAGAAATTACACTTTTTAAAGACAAATACTACAACTAATTAATATTAAAACATATTTTAGCTAATTGAAATAATGCTGAAATAAAATAAATAAAAAAATATTTAAAAAAAATGACATGCCAAAAACATGAAACTACTAGAACTTTTAAATTAAAATGTAAACTGAAAAAGCTCATTCAAAATATTAATAAATACTATAATATTATGCAAATACTGAAAACACACTTCTGTCAAGGGCATCAGTGGTCAAGTGTCGTCAAGACATTTTCGAGATTGATGTATCGTTAAAACATCCAGAGTCAGGTGGTTATCACTGATGTGTAGTACACTAAGCAACTATCCTGAATACAAAGTCACGTATACACGTTTCAGTGTACTATGCAACCATGTTTATCACATTTTGTAAACATATAGGCCTAGTTTCACAGACAGGGCTTAGGTTAAACCAAGATTAAGCCATAGTTCAATTAAGACATTTAAGTATCTTTTATAAACGTGCCTTAGAAAATAACATTGCTTGTGTGCATCTTGAGACAAAACAATGGCACTGACATGTTTTAAGAGATGTCAGTGCAAGTTTCTTTCAGGTAAAACAGCCCAGACAAGCATTTTAGTCTGGGACTAGGCTTAAGCCTCGTCTGTGACAACGGGGGATAAAATAAACTGGCAGGAATAGTACCACATTACCTACCGTAAGATAAGACCCATATGATCGAGTGTGTGGAGAATCCGGAACTCAATACCCTCACGTGATTTCGGCTGTCCAATAAAATTCCGAAGGGGCGAAGCTATCACGTCTCTACAGAATCCAGCAAGAAAACACATCAAAACAATGGATATGATAAAAGAACAAATATGACACAGACACCAGGGTTCTTTTAGGTTACTAAAACTATATATATATATATATAAATTGGTTACATGAAATAATATGAATATTAATCGAAATAAAATCAATTAGAAAACAACTTAAACGTATCTCAAATAGCTGCAAAGACAACATTTCACATTTTCATTTAGTTTAACTGAAATAACTAAAACTAAACAACAACAAATAAACACTATAAGTTTAAAAATGTAAAAAAAATAAAAATAAATTTAAACTAAATATTCTAATAAAAATTAATACAAACTATAGAAGTATCTCAATGATACTAAAATAACACTGACAGACACAAAAGGGTTTGTTGTAGTTGTATTTATACACATTGGGATTAAAATCCCTTTTAACAACACAGAATTCTTTAAAACAGTGGAGAGGAGCTCCTAAATGCCTGCATGTGGCATGTTAAACAAAAAAAAAAACACTGTTTCAGTGAGTTATCAATAAATAAATCCAAATGACAATAATTTACAATATGTTACAAAAGCTGTAAATACTAGGGACTGTTATTGTCTATTTACATCTGTGCAAACACTTGTTTATGTACACCCACCCACCCACACAGAGAAAGTCTCACATAAGAAAATCTTTTAGAATCTACAAATGATTGGCTTCATATTAATTCATCAGGAAACAAAAGTCCTAGTGTTTCGGGGAAAAATAGCGTAATATGTTTAATCTCAGTTTTGATGCAACTACACTGCATTTGCATCAGTAATTTTGTTTAGTGTGGTTAGATATCCAGTCCACGTAATAATCTCACAAAAAGAAGCCCTTGTCCCTTTCAGTAGTGTGGCTTTCACCAACCTAAAACATTCAGATGAAAATAAACCAATCAGAATCGGAGGTCTCATAAACGGAGGGTGTGCGCAGACGCACTCCTATGGCTTTAGAGGGTTTTGCACAAATGTTGTGTACAATAGAAAGAAATCACGAAGACAAAACATACAATCCGCGGCTCCACTTACAGATACATGCACATGCACACACACAAAAGTGAGACAAAAGACATTAGAGACAGATATACAGACGAAAAGATGGTATTTGTTCAGATATGGCAGGTCTTGTTTTCTCTGTACATGAGGTTGCGCTGTAAACTGGAGTGTTTTTATTTATTTTTTGTTTAAGTGTCCTGGGTGTGGTTCATAAGACAACAGCCACAGAATAATCAACACACAAATACACAATCGCTCTCACATGCACACATTAGAGCCCATAGAGCCCAAAGGCTGTTGTGGACCCTGCCAGTCTATTGCACTTCCTACAGCTGAACTGCACTCCAGCTAACATTCTTCTGTCCAATACGAAAAGGGGCAGAGCAGTGACAGACACCGCCTCCAGCATCAGTCCTCTGGACGAGGTGGGAGGGTCGGTTCTGTGACAGAGAGCTCCTGTGCGAGGTCATTGAAGCGGGCGATGTAGTCAACGCTGCTCTCACTCATCATACAGGCCAGCTGGGTATCCACCTGTAGTGAGAAAACAGCCTTTGAGCAAGTGTCCAAATGTTTTTTTTAAGATAAATGTATAACACTTTCAAAGCTGAGGATGGATGCCTGATTTAATTTGCATACATCATTTGAAACACCCTCACTTCCTGTTTATCTTCATTGTAAGCCAGGATGTGAAAAAACAAAAACGAGAGCACCTGGCGATAATGTGCCATTTCAAATGACATTAATCTACCAGACAGCAGCTGGGGACTTTCTGTGTTTCCTCTCACCTCAGCTACATCCGGCAGGCCGCGGGACTGAAAACAATCGTGGGAGTTACTGTCCAGTAAACTGGGTCCAAGTAAGGCTGTGTTACTCGAAGGGGGGAGGGCTGTCCTTCTTGTCTTATTTTCAGGAGATGCCAGACTTGCTGCAAATCAGGAAAACAAGGATATGATTGTCAATAGTGCTGAGACTGATGGAGGTTTGCAGTACGAACACAGACAGGTAACTGTGGACATTTTGGCTTCAGTTTTAAGCCAGCCTCTTGTACCTCAGTATCAATACTGAATAGATACCTCAGGCAACATATAAAATAATTAAATTAAACTAGGGTTGTCATAGTTTAACTGGATATTGTTGATAGAATATCAACAAATCAACATTTTTTTTTTTAAAGTTTCACATTAAGTTCCTTTTAAAGGAAGTAATCCTTCGGAATTCCTTCGATCGATCGATTGATCTATCTATCTATCTATCTATCTATCTATGTAATATGTTTTTGAAAGAAGTTTATTTTGCTCCCCAAGGCTGCTTTTATTTAATCAAAAATACAGTAATACTGTGAAATATTATTAAAAATTAAACTGCATATCTACAAATAAAATACAAAATTAATATATTTTACAATGTCATTTATTCCTGTGTTGGCAAAGCTGAATTTTTAGCAGCTAGTACTCCAATTTTCAGTGTTACATGATCCTTAAAAAGAAAAACCAAAAAAAACAAAACAAAAAAGCATTCTAATATGCTCATTTGGTGCTCAAGATTTTTTGTTTTTATTAATATCAATGTTAAAAAATATTTTTGTAAAAGACCTGATACATTTTTTTTCCAGGATTCTTTGACGAATAGAATTGATTTGAAATAGAAATCTTTTGTATCATCATAAATGTCTTAACTGTCACTTCTAAACAAATTAATGTATCCTTGCTGAATAAAAGTATTAATTTCTTTTCAAAACAACTTTTCAAAGAATGTTGGAATGGTAGCATATATATAAATTTAAAGAAAGCTCAATCAATTAGTTACAAACTCAAAATCAGTTACCAACTCATGGCACTATCATTTTGTTTTCTGCTTTTTTACTTGTATACACACACTATCTAGAATAAACATCTGTTGCTAACAGGGATTTGAGCTGTGTTTGATACTTACAGAGCAGGCAGCCGAGACTTGAATCGGTAGAGTCACTGGGGTACCACTGAGGGTCGTGTGTGGGGGACGGCATCCAGCTGTCACACGAAGAGGGAAGGAGCTTAGATCTATCACTCCCATTGAGTTTAGGAGGTGAGAGCAATGATCCATCACCTGAGAAAGAGAGATCGAAAATGAGCGAGTAGATATAACTACTACAATACAATGCCACTGAGATCCTCTAACACTCAGGTTCAATCCCGTGGGTCATATACCATAGTGCGAGTTGATGGCGAGCTCAATTATAGAGTCGCTGATTTGAGTTTGTGGCTCTCCAGAAGGTAGAGACTCCTCTGGGGGGCCCGGAAGAGAGATATCCAATAGGGAAGCAACACTGGGAGGAGCCAAGAGGGAATCCCCGCCCCCTGGAGATGGTGGAGAGACACCGTTCTGCAGGGATTCCTGCAGATAAAGAGAGTAAAATGAGAACAAACAGACCAAGATATGAATTGTACACCTAAAAGTGAAAGAGGATATAGGAAGAGAATTAGTCCTTACCTCAGAAGGCTCCTGATTAAGCAGATCTGGCTCTAGCTCAGGTGCAGCAGGTGCAGAGTCCATGGCCTCCTCAGACTCCACAATGGCCTTATCTACACTAGGGGCCTCTACTTCCCGACGGGGGCTGCCAGGGATAATACCTGCAGATTTGGCAGCCAGGTCAATTGCACCTGAAACAAATTCAAGAGAAATTCATTTGTGTAGCAGTTGGTTTCAAATGTTCAGTGGCTAAATAAACCTTTTATCATTTAATTTTGATTTGATCCTTACTGGACAGCTGAGTAGTGGGTGCAGTACTGGCTGTAGTGGACGAAGCTTTTGAGGAAAGTTGGCGGTTCGATGGAGCGAGACGAGTTTGTATTGGACGAAACGAACCAGTTCCTGACAAAGCGGTACACAAAATATTTAAAGAGCAGTGACTGCATTAAGATCCGACAGACAGATACATTGATCCTTACACTTAAAAATGAAAGAATTTTACTGCTTGATCTCAAAAAAATTTTTTTTGTAACTACTTATAAGTAACTGGTGCCAAGTTAAGCTATCAAAATATTGAATTGTGAACATGTACATGTTTTTTTATATATTTACATTTTTTATTACTTTTTTTGTGAAATGTTTTGCTTTAAAAGAGTGTTTGTATCTTTCACTATGATAAAATGCCTTTTGGTGTGATTTTTTGTTATATAATGTCATTTATGCATTTAAGTGTGACATGAGTGTCCAAATACTTGTGTAATTTGTGTGGATTTATTACCTGTAGCAGATGAATTGGAGAGAATAGAGAAGGAGCAAACATGAGGCGAAGTGTCTCCAGTTGTTCGTGGCAGCAGGGTTCTCTGTATAATAAAAAAACCTTACATTTTTATCATTTGACAGCTGTAAGAACAAAACAACAAAAGAACAGATTCAATGTGAAAAGTAGTAACTAGGTAAAGGCAAGAAGCCCCACTTCTTATTTTTCTTCCATCCACACTCACCTGAACCACGAGAGGTTTCCTTAGTGGACGCCCCCTCCCTATTTTCCTCTGCTTTGAAAATATATCTGACTAAAGACAACAAAAAGAAAATGATTAGAGGAAAAATTTCGCTAATGAAGAAGAGAGTATTTTTTCCCCTTCAGAAAAAAACTAAACAAAAACCCTGATGACGTCATGCAAGATTTACTGTTGTACCATATGTACAGTTCAAAAGTCTGGATTCACAACATTTTCTAAATTGATATTAATAAGAAATGTTTCTTGATCACCAAATCAGCATATTAGAATGATTTCTGAAGACTGGAATAATGACTGCTTAAAATCACAGGAATAAAATACATTAAAAAATATATATTAAAGTAGAAAACAGTTAGAATAAACAGTAATAAATAATCATTTATAACATTAAATTGTAATGCATTATGTTCCTGTGGCTCAGTGGTAGAGCATTGTGTTAGCAGCGCAAAAGGTCGTGGGTTCGATTCCCAGGGGACACACATACTGGTAAGTTGCTTTGGATAAAAGCGTCTGATAAATGCATAAATAATATCTATGAGACGTCTTTCAAAAAAAATTCTTACCAACCCTAAACTTTTGAATGGTAGAATATATGATTTGGCCAACTGACAACTTGAAATACATTTCAATATTATATTTAAAAATGAAAAAGCATGTCCCTCATGTCCTATTCTCTTTTAGAAACACTGACTCAACTCACACTGATGGAGTCCAGCTGCTGGCGAAAGGCTAGCTCCGCCTCCTTATTAGGTGAGAACATCCGCAACTGGCGGGAGCTGTTAGGAGGCAGGGTCGTCGGGACAGCAAACCCTTCGCTGTCACCTCCGGAGGCCAGCAGAGAACGCGGCAGGTTTCTCCCACCTGCGGAGAACACATCTATTTAAATTCCAGCTGATAAAATTGATACAAAGCAGCAACACTGCAATTTTGTCACAATATTGAGTCAATATGATGTTTTTGGTTCAAGAAGAGGTGAAACTTCAGGTTTTTCCAGCTGTTATAGGTTGCAATAAACTTCAATCAGTTCTGGGAGGATGTTCATTACACTGGCTTTAAAGTTGAAGTGTTTCAATATTTAAATACTTTAGTTTATCCCAGTTTAATCTGCAACTACAAGTAAACCATTTGTATACTAATTTCCCTAAAATTTTGGTCCGTGAGCAAGGCGAACGGCCTGAGATATTAACAATTGCTCAACCAATGCCGTGAGTTTGGGGCGGAACTAACTGACATCCAAAGGCAAGTGGGGAAATATTTCGGAAACGGTGTCATTTCTGTGCCACTATTTGGAATTGCAGAAATAATGACACTTCAACTTAAATTAAGACACAATTATGTTTCTGTGTACCTGTGATGACTGCATTATTCAGAAGTATTTTTGAGCGTGCTGCATGTTGCTGTCGACCCCAGCTAGGACTACGGGTCGCCCCAGCTGGAGCTCTGCCTGGAGGAGTCACTGATGAATCCTCTTGACCTGATTTCAAAGGTGAAGTGCCCACTGAACACACCTCCGGGGTCTAGGAATAATTAAAAAATGTTTTAAAATAAAAATAACAATAATAAAAAAAAATTAATGAATTTAAAAGATGTAAACATTTACGTTTACATTTAGTCATTTAGCAGACGCTTTTATCCAAAGCGACTTACAATTGGGGGATACATAAAGCAATTCTTCTTAAAGAGGCAAACAGACACAAGAAGTGGTTGTAATACCAAGTTCTTAGACATTGTTCAAATAAGTACAAGCTAGAAAGAGAAGGAATAAATAAAAAAAAATTTTTTTTAATATGATGAAGTCAAGTAGCTTCGAAAGAGATGAGTTTTCAGCTGTCGCTTGAAAATTGTCAGGGATAAACCTTCTCATTTAAAATTACACTTGGTTTAAATAATAAATAAACAAACAGAACCACAGACGAACAAATTACTAATTTAATTAGCCTAGTGCTATCTAGGTTATATGCATCTCTCTTGTTTTTATGCATAGTATTAATTTACTTTTTTTTGCCTACTTATAGTTGCCTTGAGGTATTGTGGAGGTCAAGTGTAAGGTCAGAGAGAGAGATAAAACAGACTTACTGGTTTGGGGTTGACCTCTGATGACACAAGTCTCAGGAGACACCGAAGCACACTTTGAGTGGTGGGCAGAGCTGAGGGTTGGGGTTTAGGCTGCCATTCATACTCCAGCTGTAGTTTCCCAGGCTTGCCCAGCATGAGGTAGACTTCTGCCAGTGTCACATTCTCAAAGCCCTGTGAGCTCCAACCTTCGTTTTGGATTTGTTGAGGAGATCGTCCAGTCCCACTCACTTCCTCATTGCGCCCTTGAGGTTCTGATTGTGGTGGTGCTGCTTTTTCTGATGCAACCCCTCCTGCCGTTCCAGGCTCCTCAGACCGGCCCTCGATTGGGGCGGGGTCTCCCTGAGTCACAGTCTCTTTGTCGCGCCTGCTAGCATCAGTCTGAGTCTGACTCACTGCTTCTTGCTCCAGAGTCCCCACCACATTCCCCTCCGGTCCAATGGGGAGCGATGGAGCGAGGGTTGGACTGACTGGAGAAGTAGAGCTCAGGTTTGGGTTTACATTGGTCTCCAACCCTGGAGCTGAAGTGCCGCTATCAGGACCGTCAACAGGATGCCCGTCGCTTTTTTTCAGGTCTCCTCCCACCGGACCATACTTGCCTGATTTTCCTCTTGCAGGCTGAATTCCCAAAATGTGAGCTGCGGGCAAGTCCCTAATACCTGTCCGGCCACGCCCACTCTCCTGCCAGTGTACCGTGCAGGAAGCTTTTGAGTGCACAACACGAGCCACGCCTGGCAAAGTAGTAACCGTGCTGTTCTCTGCAGGAAACAGGAACAGGTCCTCCAACTCACTAGACTGGGCCAGGCCGTCCAGAGCTTCTCGTTCTGCCAGACTCTTACGCTACAAGTGACAAGTTAAGGGGAATTACTGTTATAAAACACATAGGTTTGGGTACTGATTTAAGCATAGAGATCTTTGCCAAATCTCCCAAACAAAGCAACCAAATCAATCACAAATGTATCTCATAAAACAAACGAGGTAGGAAAAAGGAAGGAAATTAAATTCCTGACTGTGCATGCTGAGATATCTGGTTGAGATATGAATGCAAGGATACAATTCGTTGATCCTGGACAGCCCACTTTTGCTTCAGGAATTCAATGAGAGTGGAGACCTTCCGGTGCAACTCCACGACCATCCTACAAACACAGCACAGTGATGGGCATCGCCAAATCTGTTGTACTTTTAATGTCACAACGAATTGCAAGTACTGAGAGGCCTTTTCTTCTGTATGGTGACGTACATCCATTTCATTTTTAGTTTACATTTTCATCTCATGCCGACTTTCAATATGAAGTCAATGAGATATCAAAATGCATCAAAATACACTTTCATGACTCCAAAATAATAAAAAAAATAGCCATGAAGCAATCTCACTATTTAATTTAATACGAAAGTCACCAAGTATGGCAATACTAAGAGACTAAATAAAACAAAAAACTAAATAAACAAAACACTGAAAATACTCAAACTAACCATAACATTGACAGCAAGCATGAAAACTAAACTTCAAAATACATACACACACATATATATATATATATATATATATATATATATATATATACACACATACATACACATACACACACACTACTATAATATTTCTTCTTAAAATATTCCCGCCCACTTCCACAATCCAACCAATTTGCAGATTACGGAAGAATGTTGTAAGACAGCAAAATAACAACATTTTGCAATAAGCAATTAAATAAATAAGCCATGAGAATGTATGATTTAAACGAGGTGGATCAGTGAGGTATGCAAGACAGCTCATGTGTACGCATTAGTGAACCTCACCTGAGCCGAGGATTATGGGCTAGACTCTGAACCCGAGCCCAGGAGTGGTTGCTCCGGGGTTGAAGTTCTACAGCCACCTTCAACGGTAAACGCACAGGCTTCTGATCCTCCTCATCACTCACACCTGAAACAGAGAACAACAGAAAAAATAATTAATACTATGAAGCCTACACCACCATCTCCATGATTCTGACGGTGGCCTACATCTGCATCACCGCCCATTTTCGAATCAGTCCCACAGCCTGAAACCATGGAAACCATGAAAAACCACTCCTCCTACATCCTGGAGAGCAGCCATGGCACACTCATCCACTGCCTTGGTCCACCTAAATACCCATGGTGCTCCATTTAGTCAGTGTTCTCTTCTTACCTCATGCAGTCTGTTTAACTTGCTAACAAAATCTATCTTTTAAGAGTCTATAAAGCAATCTCCATTTCTCTCTCTCACACACACACCATCTGGGTCGCAGAGTTTCTTCAGTGCGCGGCACATGGGAGCTTTGATCCTCAGATTTCTGCCTTTGGAACGTACTGTGGTGGCCCTGAAACAATGTACATACAAAATTATAGATGTACCTCAATATGACAATATAATAATATTCATAACCTACAGAGATGTACAGCAGATGTTCCCATTAGACATGCCCTAAATAATCAGTACTGTTCATTATTAACATTTCTCTTTCTCTCTCTCAAATACACATACACTTACCCCTGTTGGATAAGCTCATTTAGTTTGGCCACATTTTTGTCATCCATCACTAGAAGTAATAGAAAGACACCAAGGAATGTTACATTTAAAATGTCCTCATGTGCAAACACTTAAAATGTCCCCCCCGATCAAGACAACCAATTGCCTGATATACTTACAGCCTCCAACCTTCTTCCTGAGTTCAGCATAACAGATGAGGCCATAGAGCTCCTGAGAAGACTTTTTCAGCACACGTGAATACACTGAAAGATGGACAAAAGGAAGCAATAGAAAAAGGAATAAGAACATGAAAGCATTGAGCATTTATCATGTATTATGCAAATGATTTTAGTGGAAACCATAATACATTATTTTAGGATTATTTGATGAATATAACATTCAAAAGAACAGCATTTATTTGAAATAGAAATCTTTTGTAACATTACAAATGTCTTTACTGTCACTTTTGATCAATTTAATGCATCCTTGCTGAATAGAAGCATAAAACAGTAGTGTACCATGAATCAACCAATAAAGACAAAGTACAAGAAACTGTGAAATGTCACAGTAGAGGTTAATGCTGTTTTTATTTATGTATGCTACTAAATCACAATAAGCAAATGTGCATGGTGTGGGCACACTCATGATTTGATAATGCCCTGACTGACAAAAACCAGGTAGTGTGGTAGAGGAGAAAATTCAACTCAATATGAAGGTGACAGACTGAATTTAAATGAGATGACAGGTACATCTCTGTTGTGGCAAGTTGACTGATGGACAAACAAATTACGTGTGACCCGATGGGAAACAAAACCCAACGTGAGCCATGTGTTATAAAAATTGGTGGAAAAAAGCAAATACAGCTAACTTAGAGGCATTTTCAGGTAAATCATCCTAGAATTCATACAAAGAAAAAGAACGCATATTTGTAACGTTAGTCAATATGAAAAACTAGCTAAGTTACTGTTCAGTTTTGAAAAAGATTATTTAAATTTGTACTTGTTTGCACCTGATATTTGCTACCTATGTGTACTCTACCTTGACATTCAAAGGTAAAGTTTAATAATAGTATAGGTAAATAATGAAACAATGATCATGTAGGTATCACCACTTCTGAATAGCACCACATACATTTTTGGCAAGTCTGTTTCCGTGAAAGAAAATTGTGAAATTGTAAAAATTTGAATAGAAAGTTCAAAAGAACAGCATCATTCATTTCAAACAGACCTTTTTTGTAACATTATAAATTTATTTACCGTCACTTTTGGTTCTTTCAAAAAAAAAATTTCTTATTGACCCCTAACATTTGAACAGTAGTGTATATATTTAGGAACTAATCTTGACAACTAACGAAGCAGGAGAGAGGACTAGGGGTGCAACGGTTCAACTTACTCACGGTTCGGTTTGTATCACGGTTTCGGTACAGTTTGGTATGTGGGGAAAAAACTATATTGTCAAATAAAAATAAAGAAAATAAGAACAAATAATCTAACTACAAGTAACAGTACAAATAAATAAACAGTGGAAAAAGATACAAATAAAATAAACGGTGCTTTTAAGTTTTTTTTAGGTAGAAAACTTATAGTTTTTAGGTACAGAAATTGAATAAATCAAATGTAAAATAACATTGCATATTTGACTGTATAAATTAAAGATTCTTATTAAAGTTACAAAAGTTATTCAATCAAGAGCAGTGAGTGATTTCTGTGTTGTTGCTGTTTAATTAACTTTAAGAAAGTGCTGTCACTTTAAGAGAATGCACTGATCCAGTGCACTGATACTGTTTGTTCAGCCGACTATGTCTGCTAGGATACTCACCAAGACGGGCATTTTGACAATTTTTGTGTGAATTTGTCCATTCAAACACAATACTTCACAGAGAGCTTAATATTTGCACGCGTTCTCGCTTCGGATGAGCAACCACACAGATCTTCTGTGAGTTCACGTCTTCTGGCTCTTTAATATTTAAACTGGCAAGGCTTAAATGAGTTTAGTTTAAACACAGTTGATAGCGCAGGTCTCACCTGCGCTATCAACACGTGATGACGGCATAAATGACAGTTATTCCAGCATAAAGCACTCGCATTGATTAAAGAGTGACTGGTTTGTCCACGTATTGTTTTTTCTCTCTCTCCCCGCTCTTGTTGTAATGTATTGGGAAGCCAGAATTTGTATCCATCAACAGAAACATGCATTAGCCGAACTCTAACAAACCATATTACAGATGCATTGTCAGATTTAAGTTGAACCGCGGTCCTAGTGTATGCCGAACCGTGTGTGGAGAACGGTACGGTTCGATTTTTTACCGAGAACCGTTGCACCCCTACAGGAGGACGGTTTTCCACAAGACAATATCCTCCTATCAAACAAAAGACTCCACTGTAGCCTGTAAATGTCATTCAAAGTTTAAACTGTGCATCTGTCAGTCTCACCGTTGTTGAAATCAATGTGTTTAGAGATCTTGTGCCAGGTCCTGTAGTAGAAATGCCGCACCTGCTCCTTGTTCTTCACCATACTTGCCGGTTTACCCTTCTTCTTATATTTAAGAGCTATATTGTTCTGAATAGCTTCAAAATCCTTCCCATGCTATGAGAGGACAGGAGAGAGAATGACAGAGGAACATTTATTTATAGCTGTTCCAAAAGATTTAATGAAACACAAAAATCCTTCAGGTGCATGACAAATTAGAACTCATTAAGAAATAAATCAATAAACGATATCACAGACCTCAATTATACCATTAGAGATGACATTTAAATAAATTAAACCTATTAGGACATTTAAATATCAGTCTGTCCTATTCTGAAAATGTTATTGTCCCATATGATGTGGCAGTCGTGGCCTAATGGATAGAAAGTCGGACTTGTAACCTGAAGGTAGGGAGAGTGAATGACCAGCACTCTCTTCCACCTTCAAAACCACTACTGAGGGGAGACCCTTGAGCAACCCCCAACTAGGGCTGTGCGATTTGGGGAAAATATATATATATATATATATATATAATATAGCTTCAGCTTAACATTTTCAATAGTGTACAGCACAGTATGGGTATCGTTACCCTGCTGAGTAAAACAATAGAAACCATCACAGAAATTCTTATGGTTTCCATTAAAACAATTATAAAATTCATTTTTATAGTGCGTTTTGGGCATTATTCCAATAGGAATTCAATTCAATTCTTTATTCTTATTCCAATAGGAATTACTGTTGTTCTATTGCTTCCCATCTGCCAGATTACATCCCACCAATAGAATCCATCAAATACCAGTAGACACCATTATAGTTTACATTAAAGCCAATATAATTCCCATTATAACGCTTAAATCCATTACATTTTCTATTGTGTTTTGGGAGGGGTTCTAATGTTTTTTTTCAGCAGGGAATATTATAATGGTATTACTACTTTTACAGAATATACTTAATTACTGAATTTCACAGGAAAGATTAGTTTATTTTGTGTAAATAAAGAACTGAATTACTTTACTCAATTATTAAAGTATTACATAGGCTGATTTATTCATTTTTAAGTATTTGGGATTTTAAGAACAAGTGGAAAATGTGCTGAATGTTTCATTTCACCCAAGTGAAATTAGCAAAGCGGTTAGACTGAATTTACACTTGTTTTAAATGTGGAGCCAGGCGTGAGTTGACACAGGTTGCGCGCATGCGTCAAACCTCGTCCTTACTGCCAGATGCGCTCATGGAGATGTGCAATGCGGAGCCGTGCGCGAGTATAAATAAGCATTACGAGACAGGCTGCGTGTGTGCGGCGAGTGTAAATGGCTCCTCCGTGAGACGCGGCAGAGAGGAGCGAGTACGAGAAGCATTCAGAGACACAGGCTGTGTGTGCGGTCTTCTGAATTGGGAACAGCAAACATGCATTATAAACTTCTTTCAAATTTCCCCAAGAATCTGTTGGGGAGATAAAATGTGCAAGATAACGTTCATGTACTAATAAAAACATATATTTTATTCTCCAGTACTGAAAGCAGTACCGATAAGGGAGCTCTTGATATGTGTTGTAACACAGTTCTTGCAAATTAACTTTTTTGTTTGGTGTCTGTCATTTCAAAGCCGAAGTAATCTCATATTACATCAGTTTTTCTTTAGTATTAATTTGCCTAACTATCGATCTGACCCTGTAGACGCCATAATCACACACACACACTCTCTCTCTCTCCCGCTTTCTGTTTGTTCATTTTTAATGGTGGGTGTTTACGCAGTTGGCTAGAGCAGTGCTGATTGCATCTATGTAAGAATCAACTATGCATTACTGAGCTTAAATATACCTACTTAGGAATTGCTTTTACACATTTTCCAGACATATTCCTAATGCAAAAATACAGTTTTTCAGATTACTGAGCACTGTTGACCATTAAATTTAATTCACACTATGGCATATCACTTTCACCAAGGCATATCTACACCAACCAAAAAACGAGATTAAACTTTAAAGGAGAAACACAGACATACACACAAAACAACTGTCACTCATACGCAAAAGATATCAGTAAAGAGTGCTGAAATGGGCCAGCTTAATTTGAATGGCTGTGCAACCAACTAAAATGTATTTATAATACTTTGGGCTGTTAAATTTATTTTTGGTTGAACATAAGAGATTTACAAAACCATGAAAACACCACTCTTTTAAAAAGCAAATAAATCGCAACAAACAAATACAATTTAATATTGATAATTGCATAATTTCAGCCTGAGACCTAATAGAAAACTATTATATTTTTGTTCGCAATTAGAAAGGCTTACATATTATTAGCCTATTTAAATCTTTTTATGTACCGTGTTAATGTGTGTGTCAACAAGAGTGTCAGGAAGTATGTGAGGAGTCCCTCGGAGGGCATCCAGACCTGCTGCTCAGTGCACTGATCCAAAAACAACACGCTGGGAACCGGAGAAGCCAATAACTCTCCCCCTTACTTACACACGAGAGCATGCAATGAGAGCACCCCAGAATACATTACAGCATGCAAGCCTACTGTCTACATTTAAAATAAACACAGATTCCCTGTATAATCCCTGTGTACGCTTAGATCGCAAACAGATCACTCAAACTCCTGACTTGTGATCCTGATTCAATGTAGACGCAGAGTGACCATCTCCTGATCAGATTCATCAGAATCAAACTCCTGACAGTGATTTGTCACCTGCTGCTGGGTGACAGCTAAACAAGGGATATGAAAGGGAAATAAATGAATAATAATAGAGCCTGCTGGTTTAAAATAGTGCACTGGTGCTAATTAAGGCATTTAGTGTGGTTACAAGCAACCCAAACATCCCAGAGCTGAGATGTAAGAGGCTTCAGTGTGAGCAGTTTGTCAAGTCACTTTCACTCGAGAAAGCATGAGAGCTTCTCCGCGTTGACAAATCAGAAGCAGCCCAAAGACACACAGATTGTCGTACAAATGCCCCAAAACACGCTCAAAAGTGAGATAAAAGTGCAGAGAAAGGATGCACTGACAGGTGGGCAGCGGACGCACGTCGAGATGGCCACTCACCTTTCGCTTTCGCAGCGCCGTGACCGTTCAGCGCCGGGGACGAGGCATCTTTCCGTATCCGCTTGCTCGGAGGTCGCACGCTGGAGCGGAGAAAATGATGCTGGTCCTGGTTGCTCGGGGCGGCCAGGGCTGGGGAAAGCGCTACCTGGGCTCCGGGTGGGCTGGATGTTTGGCTGGAAAGAGTCGGAGCCGAACCGGGGCTGGCCGCGCTTGATGGATTAAGTGTTTCCTCTCCGACTCTCTTTGTACTCGTCTCCTCGCTCGCCTGATCTGCGCTCTCTCCATCCTCGTCTCCTTCGGGCTTTCGGTCCGGTTTGCTCGGCCCCTCGACTCCCGAACCGCCCCCTTGGCCCACTGTCATCCTGCGAAAACACAAACGAAGCATAACCGTAAACATTTTCCGCGACACAAAACAACGATCAACTTGGAAAGACGACATTCTGCTCAACTCAACATGGCCGCCGCTGTTTGTTTCAAATCCCCTCTCACCGTCCCGACAAATCGCATCGGAAAAATACCCCTTCGGTTATTGACGAATGTGACCAAAAACACGCGTCGTGCTTTCATCCCAGCCTCCCTTTTGTGTAGTTTCGCGTGGCTCGAGGTTCGAGCTGCCCTATATTTCCCTTGAAATTCAAGCGCGAGCGCCTTCACTTTAGCGCCCTGCAGAAACGACAGACGACAACGCAAATCTTCCGCGCATTCGACCTCTATCTGAAGTGCTTGTTTCTCACGCACTCTTACCCATTCTCGAGCTCTTCGGAAGCAGACGGCGTCTTCTTTCTCTTCACCATGAGTTCGAAGATTTTCGAGAGCAAAACTTGACGAATTTGAACATATTCGAAGCGCAAACGAGGTCAGGCAAAGTCGTCCTCTCCTGGCTGCTGCTGCTCCTACTGGGGTTCAACTCCGCGCAGCGCAACTGGGAGCTTCTCGTAGCCACAGCAACTCTGACTCATAAACCCACTAGTTTTATCACAACAACAACAAGCACACCTGTCATTTAGCCTATGTTCATGATAAAACGACACACGATGACGCTAAGTTTGAATCCAGATCTGCGTTTTGAGGCATTTCGGTCAATTCAAACCTATGCAGGCGCACGCAGCCGCTGTTCTCCCTCTGGACTTTGCTTACTCCTTCTACGTCAACATAACTTTCAGGGCAGAAGCTGATTTATTATTCAAATTTAAATTGCGCTCAGTGACACCCACAGTCCCAATTTATCCCAAGATAAGAGTGCGTTGATTTCATCATCTCAACAACGAGCAGGACAGACTCGACAGATCATGTAGACGAGAGGGGGTGTGATATGGTGCTTTGCATACACAGCAAAACAAATACTCATTAAACATTAGTAACCGCACATATAACAGTGACTCCTTCTCGGATCTGTTCATCTCTGCTGTTTATTAAAATAAAAAGTTTGCAATAGTCAACTGACACCATGCTTTGCTTGATTAGGGCGTGTCTTCAGTTCCCAAGAGCTAAAAACTTTTTTGACATAACAGACTTTGTCAAACACTGAGCCACTTTGAGAAGTTTTTACTTTATAAATGTAGTTGTAAACAGCAATCGTGCATGCTTAAGATGCTAGAAATCAATTGCTTCCTATTATATTTTGAACATTATTGCAGCCAAGAAAAATAATATTTCTGTATATTGTGTGTAAAGCAGAATTTAGCTTGATTTATCCCACGAACAACATTGTTATAATGTCTATAATGAAATAAGATACAGCTAGGCAATGCCGACCTCAGCTGCTCAGCCACTGCAGCTGTCAATACCCCAGTCACTATCTGTGAGGGGCATTCAGATGAAACAAAATGTTTTTATTTCATCCTCTTGAGCATTCAGTGAAACGTGCTCACGAGTATGGACGCCTTAACAAGAACAAAGCTAAATAGCAAATTTACACTGCACGAAGCTCTGCATGAAGCACCAACAGCTTAAAATACAACAACAACTTGATTCAGTATCACATGCACAATTGTGGGCACTGTTTGACAGTGTCAAAGTCACAATGTTAGTTAGTGACAGCTTAATTATAGATGCTTGTCAGCCCACAAAAAAAGGGGGGGGGGGCATAATATATTGCATCACGGAGTGACTGAAGTCTGATTTCAACATAACCGAATGCAACAACTGATACCTAGCCAGCAGCACAGCCGTTAACTTGCTAGCTAAACAGTTACCGTTTCGTTTCTGCTGAAAACATATAAGCAGCTCAAGATGTGTAATGAATAATTACGTCTCAACAAAAAATGATTTTACAAGTTCTGTACCTGCTTAGGAGAATTTTTTGGCCTTGAGAAACTCCACGGTATCCAGAAAGACCAGAGCAGAAAGATAGCAGGAGAACCGCTGAGAGCTGCATCCCTTCCTGTTTTCCTCTGCTGTCAGACACGCCTACCACAACTCAAAAACAAATCCTCTGATTGGCCAAGAGTACGTACGTCGCCGCGTGCGTAAAATGATTGACGGAGAAGTTATTCAGTCAATCATGAAAGACAGAAGGGGCGTTTTTTTCAAAGTAGCCAATCAAAACTTACGTTCGCGGAGCGTAATTTCATTCACATGGCAAATGTTTTAAAATAACGGTCCCACCCAAAATGAACATAGACCGACGAAGCAGTATTGTTACTGAAAGTAAATTTAATTTACTTTATGTAATTATATTTACAGTCACTGCAATGTATTATATAGCAGTTGTATTATTATTGTACATTTAATTACAATAAATATTTTATATTGTGTATACATTTTTTATTTTTTAATAATATTTTTTTTTAAACATGATAGAATTCATGATAGAATTTCAAGAAATTATACAGAAAAAATATCTTCTTGTCTTGTTTGGTTAATTTATACCTACGAATATAAAATGTAACTATATATAAAAAAACACATATGCTCTGTTTTCAATACCCTTATCGCAATTTATCATAACAAAAATTAATATCCTGGGACCCAGGCACAGTCTTTTGTCCTCTGTAGAGGACATTATTTTTTAGTGAATTTCTCTGAGAGCATACATGCCACATACATGAATGTACAGAGCACATTCAGGGCTTTTTAGAGATATCAAATGTGTGGAGGTTTGATCGTAAACACTCCCTTTCCTTGGTCTTTAGATATGACTGATATTGACAGAATGATCGAATTTAGCACTCTTAGGGAAATATGATAATGTTTGGTAATTTTGAAAATGTCAAGTTATTACTCCCACTATTACACTTCTTCTTTCGTTTGCCCCAAGAACACATTAATATGCAAATTAGATGCAATGTATAGGCTGGGAATATCAATTTATGGGCATTTTACGCAAATATTGCATAAAGTAAAACAGTATATCAAATCATTTTGTTTATCTTTCATAACATAGTTGAGAATCATCTTTGTACAAAGTTTGGCTAAAATAGCCTGAAACGTAAAAACTATATTAACAAAAAAAATTGTTTTTGCCTATACATGCCTTTTCATGTCTATTTATTTTTTAATAACTTAGTCCTGGCATCATCTACAAAAGACAGAATATAATGTGAATAAAATATATGTTTTCAAACATGTGTTTTTCTCCATTTGTTTCTTGTCCTCCAACCAACGTAATGGCAAAAAAAACTTTTTTTCTGGTTCTCAGGAGGATATGATTTTTTTTCATGTTTTAAAATTGAGGTTGCAGTCAACTACTTTGGAAGGCGGTGCATGTAGTTAACCAATCAACACCCGAGCCTCCACACCCTGTTGGCCATATTATCCTTACAGCCAATAGAAATTTACTTAAATCAGACTGATTTCTCAGAGAGTCATTCACATAATCAAATTTGCAGTTCTGCCCTAAATGCAAATGAGCTGTGCAACAGCAGGCTTCACGGTTTTTTGGCATAGACGTGCAGTTTAGCGGTTGTGGCAGGGCTCTTTCTGCGGGGAGGGCTGTTGCTGAAGTTTCTGGGTCACGTCGCAGCAGACCGAGACAAGCAACCATGACTTCAACAAATATGTATCAGGGGCTTGATAGTAGTGGCAAACCAAGTTCAAGGTATGGGTCGTGTGCTGGCAGTTGATCTGGAACAATCTGGTGTTTGTAGTAGGGTTTGTGTTGACACTTGCATGTGTTTATCTGAATCCTCAATCACGCTTCTTTAGGAGAGTGAGATAGGAACTTTAGCATGACTAAGCGCTACATGCTAACTCTAGTAGTTAAGCGAAAAAGCTTGTATTGCATTTACAATGTGTGCTCAAATTGCTGGATATAACTGTGTCAATATTGTGCCGTGGAGTGTGTGATGGTCAAATATGATATTACAATATGTGATGTCAATGTGGTCAATATTATGTGTTAGCCGTTAGCGGCATATATGCCGAGGCTCAAAGAGAAGGTTTGTGAGCTACATATACGCATTTGACTTATAATCAGAAATGTATTTGTAAATTGAAATGGCTACCTTAAAAATAAACATGAGTTTATGAATACATATGAATTTATGCACAACGCAGACTTGGAAGTAGGCGCCTTTCCTTAAAGTGTTGTTGATCGGAAACGAATTTATGCCGCAGGCTGTAGTTTTGTTTATTGTGCAGGGCTTTAACTTTATTAAAGAAATCCACGAATTATTAAAATTCAGCTTTGGATGTTAGGTACAACTTGGTGGCCCATAAAAGCCTGACCGCCTAAACTTGTAACTGCAATTGCGATGTTTAGCCTCACAGATAGGGTGGCGCTGTAGTTTTGTCACTTTATTAATCTATACATTTCAGTAATGAGGTATGTGTAATATTCATGTACATACCTGTATGTTGTCTGTAGGATACTAAGACCTCCAGGTGGAGGGTCAAGCAATCTCTTCGGTGGTTATGAAGAAGACCCTGCTGCCTCCAGACGACAAAACAAAATGTCCTCTTCTATTTTTGCACCTCCAGAAGAGACCCGGGGGGGTCCCAGACGCTCCAACCCCCCAGGTGAGCTTTCAGCAGACACAGTCTTTTCTGTCTGGGGCCTCTTGCACTCTGAGTGAAAATCATCACCACACTGTTACTTAGTTTTATGTGTTCGAGACTCTCTCTCGTCCACTATGCAAACAAGGACACTTTGCATTTGTTATCGTGTCACCAAAAGCAACATCAAAACTCCTACCTCAGTCTAACAAACAGGGATTGAAATTAACGTTTTTACTCACCAGCCAATTTGGCTACTAAATTAAGTTACCGGCCATTCATAACTTCTACCAGCCAAAAAAACAACAACAAATAAACCAACAGCTTGAGGCTGTCTACATGACAAAGAGACTGTTGCAAATAATTTTGTGTCGGTACTAAGGGTGTGCGATGTTGACAAAAAATATCTCAATATTTTCTGGGATTTTATTGATAAAGATAATTAGACAATATTTTGCTGGGTGTGTTGTTGTGCTGATATCTTAAGGATACCGTGGACAGCTGACTCCTAAAGTTTTTGATATTCTTCATATTCTGTGAATCAGAATGAGCTTTATTGCCAGGTATGTTTACACATACGAGGAATTTGTTTTCGTGACAGAAGCTTCCACAGTGTAACAGAATGACAGTGACAGAACAAAAAACACGGATAATACGATGCTTGGCAACGCCGTTCTGAATCCGTGCTGTCTGAGCTTGACGAGCGCGCCGGCTCACTTCCCCCTTCTGCGCGTCCTGAAGGGCTTGATCAGCGCCACAGCTCCCCCGACTACAATGTCCAGCAAAACATCAGAATAGTCGAAAACTGGTGAAATATCGGGTGGTGTGTACTGCCGAATGTCCAGCAATTCGTCTCTGGTGAAACCAATTGCAGGGATATAACTAAAGACCGGACAAACTAACAAAAACTTAAAAACAACTGCGGCGCACGCCACGGAGGCAGCCATCACCATCGGCGCCATCGTACCATTTCGTGTGGTCAGTTCACAGCAGTGATAGAAATGAATCTTTTCCAATAAGTTTACATTTTATGGCCATTTTTTCCTTTTTATAAATCAATTTTTACTAAAAGTGTGCATCATCGTTTGAGTCAAATTCTTACATTTAATCAGTCAATTATAACAATACTACATTTAGGCTGTTACTAAACGCATTAAATCAGTATCAATAAAATTCATCTTTGCAGAAGTTGGATATGAAGTGGCATTTAGATGTATTTACACGTTAATGCAGC